ATCCTGAAGCCAACTGGGTGCCAGAGCCTTTATGTGATCAGTTGACCTGATCTACCATGCATCAACCTAGGAATGTGATCAGTTGACCTGATCTACCATGCATCAACCTAGGAATGTGATCAGTTGACCTGATCTACCATGCATCAACCTAGGAATGTGATCAGTTGACCTGATCTACCATGCATCAACCTAGGAATGTGATCAGTTGACCTGATCTACCATGCATCAACCTAGGAATGTGATCAGTTGACCTGATCTACCATGCATCAACCTAGGAATGTGATCAGTTGACCTGATCTACCATGCATCAACCTAGGAATGTGATCAGTTGACCTGATCTACCATGCATCAACCTAGGAATGTGATCAGTTGACCTGATCTACCATGCATCAACCTAGGATGTGATCAGTTGACCTGATCTACCATGCATCAACCTAGGAATGTGATCATTTGACCTGATCTACCATGCATCACCTAGGAATGTGATCAGTTGACCTGATCTACCATGCATCAACCTAGGAATGTGATCAGTTGACCTGATCTACCATGCATCTACCTAGGAATGTGATCAGTTGACCTGCATCAACCTAGGAATGTGATCAGTTGACCTGATCTACCATGCATCAACCTAGGATGTGATCAGTTGACCTGATCTACCATGCATCAACCTAGGAATGTGATCAGTTGACCTGATCTACCATGCATCAACCTAGGAATGTGACCTGATCAGTTGACCTGATCTACCATGCATCAACCTAGGAATGTGATCAGTTGACCTGATCTACCATGCATCAACCTAGGAATGTGATCAGTTGACCTGATCTACCATGCATCAACCTAGGAATGTGATCAGTTGACCTGATCTACCATGCATCAACCTAGGAATGTGATCAGTTGACCTGATCTACCATGCATCAACCTAGGAATGTGATCAGTTGACCTGATCTACCATGCATCAACCTAGGAATGTGATCAGTTGACCTGATCTACCATGCATCAACCTAGGAATGTGATCAGTTGACCTGATCTACCATGCATCAACATAGGAATGTGATCTAGGAATGTGATCAGTTGACCTGATCTACCATGCATCAACCTAGGAATGTGATCAGTTGACCTGATCTACCATGCATCAACCTAGGAATGTGATCAGTTGACCTGATCTACCATGCATCAACCTAGGAATGTGATCAGTTGACCTGATCTACCATGCATCAACCTAGGAATGTGATCAGTTGACCTGATCTACCATGCATCAACCTAGGAATGTGATCAGTTGACCTGATCTACCATGCATCAACCTAGGAATGTGATCAGTTTGACCTGATCTACCATGCATCAACCTAGAATGTGATCAGTTGACCTGATCTACCATGCATCAACCTAGGAATGTGATCAGTTGACCTGATCTACCATGCATCAACCTAGGAATGTGATCAGTTGACCTGATCTACCATGCATCAACCTAGGAATGTGATCAGTTGACCTGATCTACCATGCATCAACCTAGGAATGTGATCAGTTTGACCTGATCTACCATGCATCATGCATCCTAGGAATGTGATCATTTTGACCTGATCTACCATGCATCAACCTAGGAATGTGATCAGTTGACCTGATCTACCATGCATCAACCTAGGAATGTGATCAGTTGACCTGATCTACCATGCATCAACCTAGGAATGTGATCAGTTGACCTGATCTACCATGCATCAACCTAGGAATGTGATCAGTTGACCTGATCTACCATGCATCAACTAGGAATGTGATCAGTTTGACCTGATCTACCATGCAACCTAGGAATGTGATCAGTTGACCTGATCTACCATGCATCAACCTAGGAATGTGATCAGTTGAACTGATCTACCATGCATAAACTAGGAATGTGATCAGTTGACCTGACTACCATGCATCAAACTACGAATGTGATCATTTGACCTGATCTACCATGCATCAACCTAGGAATGTGATCAGTTGACC